GTTTTACATAATTGTACATGCATAACCTATATCTGATTGTTTACCATCTCAGGGAGAGGGGGAAAGGGGGAGGGAGGGATGGAATTTGGATATCAAAACTTTTAAAAATTGTTTTAAAATGATTTTAACATGTAATTGGGGGAGATAAAATATATATTTTTAAAAAAGAAAAAGAAATTAAATTCACTGGTCAGGTCTTCCTATTTTCAAAATGGAAAGGAGGAGGGGCCAAGAGAGACCTTTCAACCAATACTTTTAACCTGTGCTTTGAAATGTAACTAATTCGGGGTGGGGGAGGGGTGTGGAGAGGAGGCAGCCAAGAACAAGTTGACAAATGAGTGTGTTCCCACGTTTCCTTTCCCTGCTGACTACATAGTGACCCACCTGGTTACAAGAACAGGTAGCCAGCTATTGACCACAGCTGGAAGCTAGCCCCAGCTCTTGAGCTAGAAGGGACCTATGGGAGCAGCGAGGCGGCACATTCACACCAAACTGTGACGTTATCAAAACAACCTTGGCAAAGTCTGAGGGTTCTAGTCTTCACTCTATCACTGATGGGCTGTTGCACCTTGGACAAGTAATCTACTTCCTCAGGGTCTCAGTTTCCACATCTATAAAATGAGCTCTAGAATCCTTTGTTTCTGAAGTCTCTTCCAGCTCTGAGTTTCTGTATTTTGGAGGATTCTTTGACACTACTTTCTCTTCTCCTCCTCTCCTCCCAGGCTTGTAAGGGAAAGATCTAGATTAGGAATCAGAGAAGCTGGATTTGAACCCTGTATCCACCACTCACCACCCAGATGACTTTTTTAAGGAAATTATTCCTTTTTCTGGGCCTCAGTTTCCTAATTCACAAAATGACGGGCGTGGCTTCCAAGGTCTCTGAGAGCTCCTCATAGTCTATGGGGTTTGGTTTGGTTGTGTTGTGTTTGGGTTTTTTGGTGAGGTGAGGTGATTGGGGTTAAGTGACTTGCCCAGGGTCACACAGCTAGTAAGTGTCAAGGTTTGGTCTGAGGCTGGATTTGAACTCAGATCTTCCTCACTTCAGGGCAGGTGATCTATCCACTGTGCCACCTCGCTGCCCCCATAGTCTATGTTTTAAGGTTCCTTCTAGCTCTAAATTCAAGAGACAACATGACACAGTGGATAGAGATCCAGTCAGGAAGGTCTGGGTTTGAGTCTCACATTTGACTAGTCATATGTTATCGTTGGTGTGACCCTGGACAAGCCATTTAATTTCTTATTGCTCTAGGCAACTCCCTAAAATAGTGTGTCTTAACCTGGAGTCTGTGGGAGGGGGGGAAATATATATATCTCTTTGCTTCTTTTTAATAGTATTGTATTTCTTTCCAATTACATATAAAGACTATTTTTGACATTTTTAATAAAATTTTTAGTTCCAAATTTTGTAAATATACTTTTAATCAATTACTATATTTCAATATAATTGATTTCAGTTGTAATACTATGCATTTTCATTCCTTTATTGTTTGTTTGTTTTCTGACATTTTGAGTCCCACATTGTCTCTCTCCCAATCCTGCATTAGAGAAGACCAACATCATACTTATACACACATACATACATACACACACACACACATACACACACACACACACGCACATGAATATATATAGAGAGAGAGAGAGACAGACAGACAGACAGACAGGCAGACAGCTAGCTGGCTCAGTGGAGGGCAACAGCCCTGAAGTAAGGAGGACCTGAGTTTAAATCTGGCCTCAGACCAAACACTTGACACTTACTATCTGTGAAACCCTGGGCAAGTCACTTAACCCCAGTTGCTGAGAGAGAGAGAGATGGAATACATGCATCCATATATCAGTTCTTTCTCTGAAGGTACATGGCATTTTCCTTCATAAGCCCTTCCTAATTGACTTGAATGATCATATTACTCAGAATAGCTTAGTTATTCACAGTTATTCTTCAAATAATATTGCTGTTATGGTATACAGTGTTCTCTTGATTCTGCTCACTTCACTCAGCATTATTTTATGCAGGTCTTTCCAAGTTTTTCTAAAACCAACCTGCTTGTCACTTCTTACAGCATAATAGTATTCCATTATATTCATATACTACAATTTATTCAGCCATTCCACAACTGATGGGCATCCCCTCAATTTCCAGTTCTTTGCCACCACAAAGAGCACTTCTATAAATCTTTTAAAATGTATAAGTTCTTTTCCTTTTTCCCTAATAGTATTATTAATTGTAGTATTTCTGGTCAAAGGATATACACAGTTTTGTAAGTCTTTGGGTGTAATTCCAAATTGCTCTCCAAGATGGTTGGATCAGTTCATAATCCTACCAACAGTGTATCAGTGTCTCAATTTTTCCATATTCCCTCCAGCATTTGTCATTTTCCACCTCTATCATTTTAGTAAACCTGATTGGTATGAGGTAGTACATCAGAGTTATTTTAATTTGCATTTCTCTAATCAAAAATTATTTAGATAATTTTATATAACTATATTTAGCTTTGATTTTTTTCTTCCAAAAACTGTCTGATCATATCTTTTGACCATTTATTAATTGGAGAATGACTCACATTTTTATAAATTGATTCAGCTCTATATATTTGAGATATGAAGCCTTTATCTGAGAAACTGGCTATAAATCATTTCCCTCAACTTTATGCTTTCCTTCTAATCTTGGTTACATTGGTTCTATTTGTACAAAACCTTTTTAATTGAATAATCAGAATTGTCCAACTTTACATCCTACAGTGCTCTATCTCTTGTTTATTCATAAATTTTCTTATCCATAATTCTGATACGTAATATATTCTGTGCTCTCCTAATTTACTTATGCTATCTCCTAGGTCATGTATCCATTTTGACCTTATCTTGACAAACATGAAAAGATATTGGTCTATACCTAGTTTTGCCAGACTGCTTTCCAGTTTTCCCAGAATTGTAATCCTATACATTTTATTTTATTTTGTACATTTAAAAACATTGTTCTGGGAAGGGGTCCATGGGCTTCACCCAACTGGCAAAGGGGTTCAGGACACAAATCTGTTCAAAGTAGGAGTCCCTACTTTAAGACTATATGGAAATTACAGAGAAGGTGCTGATCTGCTTTGGTATTCCCTATACAAATTGAAACCCCAGTTCTAAAATCCTCAGAAGCCTTCCTTTCCAGAACCTCAGTGCCCCAGCCCCTCCTCCTTTCCATTGTTTTCCTCAGGAAAGTGTTTGGGATTTGAAATGTTGCTCTCTTTTAATGCTACTCTCTCTTACATTTAAAAGGGCTGGCTAAAAGAAAGGGATGTCTTGCTAATTTAGTCACTGTGGGTAAGAGTGGGAGATTAAAGAGAGAAAGGGACCTGAGAATTCCTGATCTTGAAGTCACCTTTGAATTTTTAAAAATTGTCAAAAAGCCTCTTATACACAGATTCTCCCAGTTCCCCACCCCTATTTGATTTCCTGAAAATAGAACTGGGGCACTTTTCCATCTTCACTTTCCTAGTATTGTGTCTCAAGCATTTTTTATTTTCCTGAACCGAATATCTGATTTCATTGGCGTGGGGAGCTCTCCAGCGAAGAACTCCCTTTAGCCAAACCCCAGCAGCTGCAATTTGTAGTCTTAAAGAGTTGCTCAGGGCATCGAGAGGGTAAATCACCCGCAGAGGGTTGAGCATCCCCTTAACTCAGAAGCAAAACTTGAACCCAGGTCTGACTCAGAAGCCAGCACTCTGACTGCCACACCATGTTTGTTACACAGAAGAGGCCATTGGCAAACATGACTTAAGCTGAATGAACAGGAGAGAAAGGTGGTTTAGCCCTAACCAAGAGTCCTGCAAGGACATGTGTAACTCCTACTCCCACCCGACCCCACCCCAGAGCAACTCACGTCCGCTCTCTAGGTCTCTATGTCCCCATTTGTAAAAGTAAAAGACCTCTAAGTTGCCTCTCACATCCCAATTGTGTCATTCCAAGATTCTAAGGCACAGTACCTTGCTCTGGTGGTGGGTGATTTATAGAATTGGGGGCATGAATGTAATGGAGTAGTTCTATACCATATGAAAAAAATGAATAAAAGGAATTCAGAGAAGCATGTCTAAACTGATGCTAAGTAAAGTAAGCAGAACCAGGGAAAACAAAGTATAAAATGACACAACCTAAACCAGAGATTCTTCACCTTTTTTGAGTTCTGGACCCCTTGGGCAATGTCTGGTCGTCTGTGAACCCCATCTCAGAATGATGTTTTTAAATGGATAAAATCAAATCTATTGGATTATGAAAGAAACTGATTATATTGAAAATAGTTGTCTTTTTTCTTTTTTTAAGTTCAGAGACCCGAGGTTAAGAATTCCTGGTGCAAAATGGAAAGAATGAAAATCCCAAGCCAACAGTTTTGTGTAATTAACATGACTGAGAAACTAGGCCCCGGGAGTTGAGAAAATGCACCTTCCTTTCACATTTGCTGAGAAAAGGGACAATGGGTATGGAATAACTGATATTCTGTTTCACTGAATTGATATGTTGTTGGTTTTGCTGAACCGTTTTTACCTCTTTTTTAAAAAATTCTATGTTACAAGAAATGACCCGGGCTAGGATAGGGGTATATTCAGAAATAAAGATGCTGTAAAAACAAAACTAGCAATAATATTTTTTAAATGTTTGTGAAATGGAGTTGGCTCCTTCTGTGTTTCAGAGTAGGAGATGTTGGTATTCTTCCAACTTTCCCCCTCCTCCTCTCATCTGGATGTCAGCAGATTCCCGACCCAGAGCACAAGGAAGAGAGGGGAACCTGGAGCCCACGGACCTGGGCTCAGAAGGGTAGTTCCCCTTTGGGGCCTGGGAGCACATAGTGAGTGTCCCCTTGCCCCCACTCCCCAGCCTATGGCTGGGAACTCCAACTTCTACCAGAACACACCCGTCGGACGTTACTCCTACTCTGCAAAGGCTTCTCCAGAGAGCAGAGGGCACACCCAAAAGGGGGAGGGGTTAGGGGTGGAGTCATGGCTCCACGCCCTGGCTCCAGTTGGTGGCTCCAGCCAACGTTTTGGTGCCTAGCTTCCGACCCCAGCCCGCTGCTGCTGCTGCTGCTGCTGCCTGCTCTCTGCCTACTGCTGACCTGAGAGAAGAGCTCCTCAGGGGCAAAGCCATGGCTCAAGCACCCGTTGTTCTGGCCCCGTGCCCAAGCGCCCTCGGGCCTTTAGATCCAGCTCAGATTGAGCAGCTCATTCGCAAGAGCCAAGAAGCCAAGGAGTTTGCCTACTGTCCCTACAGTAACTTCCCAGTGGGGGCAGCTCTCCTGACTCTGGACGGGAAGATTTTTTCAGGTAAGCCCGAAGTTCACTCCTCCCCCCATCCCCTGTCCTTAGGTACAGAAAAAGGCAACTAGAGAGCTAGACTTGGAGGGATGGAAACCTGTATTCAAATCCTGCCTTAAGACACGGAGCAAATAATTTCTCTGGGCCTCAGTTTTCTCATCTGTAAAATTAGAGGCTGGATGGCCTCTGAGATCTCTCCTAGCTTTAAATTTATAATTCTGTGAGCATTGCCTCCTCCAGGAGATGCTCCTGGTAACTTTTAAATCTTAGAAGACCAATTAAAATCAGCTTGTAAATAAAACTGCATTTCAATAGAACGCCTTTATGTTGTTAAAATATTAAATCATGGATTGAAAAATCAGCATTTTACTCTTTGAGGGTATGGTCTCACAGTCTTGGCATAGAGCATTCCAAAAGGCCTTTTTTTTTTTAAGCTTAAAAGTATTTTTTTTCCAATTGCATGTAAAGATAGTTTTCAACATTCACTTTTATAAGATTCCAAATTTTTTTTCTCCCTCCTTTCTCTTCCTCCTCCCCAAGACAGCATGCAATCCGATATAGGATATATATATATATATATATATATATATATATATATATATATATATATGTATATATATATATATATATACACACACACACACACACACACACACACAATTATATTAAACATATTTCCACATTAGTTGTGTTGTGAAAAAAGAATTGGAAACAAAAGGGAAAAACCACAGGAAAGAAAAAGAGAGAGAGAAAATAGTATGGTATCTGCATTCAGACTCTATAATTCTTTCTCTGGATGTAGATAGCATTTTCCATCATGAGCCTTTTGGAATTGTCTTCAATCAGTTGAGAAGAGCTACTTCTATCAAAGCTGGTCATCACACAGTATTGCTGTCACTGTGTACAAAGTCCTCTTGGTTCTGCTCACTTTACTCAGCATCAGCTCATATAAGTCTGTCCAGGTTTTTCTGAAATCCCCCTGTTCATCATTTCTTATAGCACAATAGTATTCCATTGCCTTCATATACCACAGCTTGTTCAGCCAGTCCCTAATTGATGGACATTTCAATTTCCAATTCTTTACCACCACAAAAAGCTGATATAAGCATTTGTGTACATCTGGGTCCTTTCCCCTTTTTTATGATCTCTTTGGGATACAGACCTAATAGTGGCATTGCTGGATCAAAGGATATGGACAGTTTTATAGCCCTTCCAAAGGGCCTTGAACCACCACTGTCCATCATCACCAAGGCAAAGTTGCCCCTCTCCCCTAAGTAGGGATGGCCAGTTTTTCTTGGTGTCTGGCTAGGGAGGAGTGGGCTTCATCCCAGGATCCAGGTATGTCATCCAGTGGGAGTTGAGGGTAGTAGAGGGAGGAAAGAGAAAGAATTTTGTGCTCATTTGAAAGACTGAAGATACTGGAGGGAGAACAAGTCCTCTTGGTGATTAGGATGGGATGAGACCTTTGAGGTGAAGACTCAGCATTTACCACTAGAAGGAACCTTAGACACCCTTTCTATTCCAATCAATTCATCTTACAGATGAGATGACTGAGGCCCAGAGAAAAGGAGTGACTTGCATAAGGGTTCCCAGGTAGTAAGCAGCAAAGCTATGATTTGAATCCAAGCCCTCTGACTCAACATCCAGATCTATTAACATTGTACCATGTGGTAAATTGCCATGTAAGGTGAAGAGGCAAATAGAGCCTAGCAGAGAAAACATGGCCTCATAGAAAGCAAACTAGTCCTGTAATCCACTGAACCCTGGTCTTAAATTCCACCTCTGTTACTTTCTAGTTGTGTGGGCCAGTCACTTCCTCTGTGCCTCAGTTTCCTTGTCTGCAAAATGGGGTTTGCAATGCTTCTAATTAAAAAAAAATCCAAAATTTTTGTGATCACAGACTTGCTTCAGGTCACACAGGTAGTAAGCATCAGAGGTAAGATTTGAACCCAGGACCTCTGACTCCAGAGCAGTGTTCTTTTTTTTTTTGAGGCAATTGGGGTTAAGAGGCTTGCCCAGAGTCACACAGCTAGTGTCAAGTGTTTGGTCTGAGGCCAGATTTGCAGTGTTCTTTTCACTGCACCATGCTGAATTCCCTGGCAAGGGAGATGGTGCATGCCAAATGCCCTATATAAATGTCAGTTGTTATTAATATCATCCAGAGCTTATATGACCTCATGGCCCCAGTGAGCACAGTTCTGAGAATTCCTCCATGATGGCCTCCATTGTTTGAGACCCTGAAGAGAAGCTGTGTACCCCTGTTAACCTGAGATCAGCAGGGATGCTGATGGGAGCCACACCATTGTGTTGTGGCTGGGTCATAACAACCATTTTCTCTATAACTCCTGTACTCTGACCCTCAAACATATGGGCCACACACCCAAGTAATTAATAACTACAATTAAATCCTCATTAGATTATACCTCATTGTATAGCATCTCTCTCCCAGGATTGTTGTGAGGATCAAATGATATAATGTTTATAAAATGCTTAGCACAGTGCCTGGCACATAGTAGGTGCTTAAGATGAGATAATAGTTGTAAAATGCATAGCACAGAGCCTGGCAAGTTCATTATCTCATCTGAGCCTCTCATTGACCCTGAGAGGGAAGTGCTATTATTCTGTTTTATTTTATTTATTCTGTTTGACAGAAGAGGAACCTGAAGATCACAGGCAGTAGGACTTGCCCATGGTCACAAAGCTGGCAAGTATGTGAGGCAGGATTCCATCAGTCAGTCAGTCTGCCAGTCAATATTAAGCACTTCCTGTGAGTCAGGCACTATGCAAAGCTCTGAGGATACAAAGAAAGTAGGAAATATGGTTCCTGAGACAAGGTGATAGGATTATGGATTGAGAGCTGGAAGTGACTCAGAGGTTATGTAGTGCAACAGTCTCATTTTATAGATAAAGTAACTAAAGCTAGGAAGCTAAAATGATTTGATAGAGGTAACACAGATAGTAAGTATCAGAAAAAGGACCTTATATTCCTACAGGAGAAACATGTAAATAACTAGGTGCATCCAAGATAGTGAAAGTATGTGAGAGGTAGTCTCAGATTCAAATTCAGGTCTTCCTGGCTTCAAGGTCAGTGTTATCCTTTATGCCACCTTTGTGCTCATCTAGTACTCAGAGGGAACTCAGAGGTTGCCTCATCCATCCCCTTCACTTTGTTTATTTGTTTGGTGAGGCAATTGGGGTCACACAGCTAGTGAGTGTTATGTGTCTGAGGCTGTATTTGAACTCAGGTCCTCCTAACTTGAGGGCTGATGCTCTACCCAATGTGCCACCTAGCTGCTCCCCCTCCCTTCACTTTACAGATGAAGAAACTGAGGTTTAGGGAGATGAAGTGACCTGCCCGGTATCACACAGTTAGTATCTGAGGGGGAATTCAAACCCAGGTCTCCCTGAAGTCCAATGCTGTAAACACTATGCCACACTGTCCTTCAGAGGAGATGCAGGTTTGAGTGCCTCTGGCCAAGTCGCTTCATCTTCCTGATCCTCAGTTTCCTACCAGTAGAATGAGATTCATCCTGCTGGTCATATACCTCCCTTCTAAGGTAGTTATGGATCAAGTGCTGTCCTTCATCAAATGTAAGGAACTCTGGGAAGTGGGCGCCATTGTTGCCCCAGCAAAAGAAAGAAGTGCATCAGGGGCATAAAACAGCAAGATAATTCAGGGTGTGGGATGGTCTTTTGGGAGAAGATTCCTGCCTCCCCCCAAAAAAAATCTGAGAAGAAATATGTAAGAAATAAAAAATGGCTCTTGCACTCAAGTAGCTTACAGTTGAGGAGAAGGCACAAATCGCTGTGATCAGAGTCCCAGGGCTGTCTCCAAACAAAACTCCCTAGATGGCGCTGGTTAGAACTTTGGGACACTGACACCCAAGAGATTAGGATTTCTTCAATCCTAACTTTCAGTGCATAGCCTTGTCCCTTTCACTTATTTCCAGGGATTGCAAGCATAGCACACGCTTAGTCAGCCATGTAGGATGGTGGGGTTGGGTTGGGGAGGGAAAGGGATTGCCTTTAATGGACCATCGGGGAGCATTTACTTGTCTGTATCTTACCACTGGACCCAGATGGCACCAGAGGAGAGAGTGAGGCTGGTGACTCTGCACAGCCCTATCTCACTTAAATCCAATTCACTTGCAATTCATGACATCACCTTTCTGATGTCAGGGTACTCTTCAAGAATGAAGGACAAACAACAATAATTTGGCTAGCTTATGGGGGACAAACTTGCAGCTGTGTGACCTTGAAAAAGTTACTTAAGCTTCCTGGGCCTCAGTTTCCTTCTCTGTAAAATGCTTGTTGATTATTTGTGTATACAAGTTAGCTGTCCAGATAGAATATTAGCTTCTTGAGGGAAAAGGTTTTATTTGTCCTTTTGTATTCCCAACCCTAGTAACATTTTATTGCTTTGGGGTTTTTTTTCTTTTCACCAGAATAGAGATTTCATTGCAGGGCAGATTTTTTTTATTGCCCACTACTATCAGTAAAACACTTGAGTCATGCCAGGAACACGTGTGTATTTCCTTATTTATAAATGATGTACAGATAATATTGTTTCAAAATATACATTATAAAATTTATACAAAATAGACATTTTAAAAAGGATGAGGAAAAGCATGAATTTTGGGTTTATATAGTTTCTCATATATGTAATATAGTGTGTGTGTGTGTGTGTGTGTGTGTGTGTTGTTCAGTCATTTTTTCAGTTGTGTCCACATTTGGTGTTTTCTTGGCAAAGACACTTGGGTAGTTTGACATTTCCTTCCCCAACTCATTTAATGAAGAAAACTGAAGGTTAAGTGACTTGCCCAAAGTCACACAGCTAGTAAGTGCCTGAGGTTACATTTAAACTCAAGTCTTACTGACTACAGGCCTAGTCCTCTATGTACTGCACCACTTAGCTGGCTGCATATAAATATGTGTGTGTGTGTGTGTGTGTGTGTGTGTACACACATATATGTACATATGCACACATGTATATAAAATATAGTATAGTTATAGTATTTGACCAGGAGGTAACAGGGAGCCACTGGAGTTCATTGAGCAGGGGGGTGACCTGGTCAGATCTGCACGTTAGGGAGATCACTTTGTTGGCTGAGTGGAGGATGAATTGGAATGGGGAGAAACTTGAGGCAGGCAGACCAGTTAGAAGGTTTATATGAGTAAGAGGTGATGAAAATCTGAACTAAGGTGGTGGCCGTGTCCATGGAGAGATGTTGTATGGGTAGAATTGACAAGACTAAACAAAAGATTGGTTCTGTGAGGTTCTGTGAGAGATGAGTTGAGGGCAGCCCCAAGGCTTTGAGCCTGAGTGACTGGGAGAAGTGTGGTGCCCATCAAGAGAAATAGAGAAGCTTGGAAAAGATCCAGAAAAGCTGATCAGACCCCATCTATGCCTGCCCCCCCAGACTCCCATGGTCCCACACAAATGGAAGGGGGAGCAGGAGGGGAGGGGAGTCTTCCTCATCAGCCATTGGTCTACAGCTGAGAGCCTGTCCTCAGCCTACTCCAGCCAGGAGGTAGAATAGGGGAGGGAGGGGATGTACTGAGAAGGGGGAGGTTAATGTTCTCCAGGGCACCTCGGACAGCTCCGCATGCTCTAGGTGATGGACAGTGGTTAGGTCAGAACTGCGCTGAGGGGCAGATACTCTACTCAGAAAGTGAGAGACAAGTGTGAAAATTTGTAGCTTTGAAGGGGGAAAGGTGTTGGGGAATGAGGACGATATGATTTTGTTGGCGCCAAACACCTCTAATCCCCTCTTAGTTTTTGCAGAGAAGATGGGGCCTTCCATTCTGTAGCAGAACACACCTCTTAACCTGCGTCTCTAAATCACTCATTGTGTCCCTGCCTGCTCTCCAGGGCATGAACACTGAGCTCAGGCACCCCTTGGTCAACTGTGGCTCTTCATTAAAAGCAGCTTCCTTACAGCCAGCCTTTACCTTTGATAACTTTGGACCTTCAGAGAAAAGGCTTATCATAGATCTCACATCAGCTGAAAAGGAATGGTAGCCCAAGTGTTGTTTAGTTGTATCTGACTCTTTGTGACTCCATTTCAGGTTTTCTTGGCAAAGATACTGGAGTGGTTTGCCATTTTCTTCTCCAAGAAAGAACTGAAGATGAGGAACTGAGGCAAACAAGGTTAAGTGACATGCCCAGGGTCACACAGCTAGTAAGTGCCAGAGCCTGGATTTGAACTCATGAAGATGAATCTTCCTGTCTCCAAACCCAGTGCTCTATGCAGAGTGAAAAAAAGACTTGAGGAGCAAAAAGACTTGTATTCTCCCTCCCCCCAAGCAATTGCCATTACCTAGCTGTATGACCTTGGGCAACAAACTTCCCTCTGGGCCTCAGTTTCCTCACCTGTAAAATAAGAGGATTATTGTTTTCTAGGATTCCATATGTAAAATAAGAGGATTGAGTTAGGTGCTCTAAAATTTCCTCCCTGCTCTAATATTCCATGTTCTGACATTCTGTGTCCTAAAAGATTCTGTCTATCCATTTTTAAAGCTTGATACTGAGCCAAAGACTTGGTTCTCCTAATTTTCACAAGTGACAGATTAGTCAAAGTAGACCAGCCTGGGGAAGTAGGACAGATAGGAGTGGGGTGCAAGGCAGTTGTTGGCAATAGCAAAGAATCAAAGGAGCATTCTGCTTAAAATTTTAAAAAAGACTACCTACTACCGTCCAGGTTCCTATTTGTCAAGACAACATATTAATTCTATAAATAATGATAATGCTAGCTCCCATTGTATGGTCCTTTACTGTTCCCAAAGCACTTTCCTAATAACATCCTTATGAGGTGCATAGTGCCAGGATTATTGTCCCCATTTTACAGAAGAGGAAACTGAGGCTCCCAGGATCACAAAGCTAATTAAACAGCCAAGCTGGAACTGAAACCCAGGGTTTCTGATTGCCAACCCAGGGAGGACTCTTTCCACCTCAATCTGCTGCCTCCAGATGTTCGAGTTTCAGTAAAAACTAGAGTGACACTAAGTATTTGGGGAGGATTCTGGGATTAGCTTTTTATAGAATACTGGTGTCCCAATGTCAGCTGGTCTAGGCTGAGTCGTAGCAGGGCTTAACTTGTGGTGCAGAAGGGTGTTTTTCATTTACTTCCTTCCCTTTGTGCAACCTTCCCCATCTGTAGGGAACTTTCTGTGTTTTGCAAGCCGTCCTGTTCCTTGTATGTTCTTGGAGCAATCCGTCAAAATGATGGTGTAATGATGAAACTATTTAAATATTATACTGTGGTTAGGAACTGCCCCAGTTTACTTATCCCTGTTTCTGCTGGGCCTAGCAGAGGGCTTTGCATAGAGTAAGTGAATGCTTATTAAAAGTTTAAGGAAGGAAGATAGCCAGCCTAAAATCTCTTATTTAAGGGGGGGAAACATTAATAAGAGGTCACTTCCTGTACACTTAACTTGAAACAAGAACACACTTAAGAAGCATTTTATTAAGCTCCTACTATGCGCCAGGCACTAGGGACACAAAGGCAAAAGTGAGACAAATCCTCACCCTCTGGGACCTTAACATTCCACTAAGACCAACTAAATATATATGTTTACAACTTCATGGAGTAGTGTTTGACAGGCCAGCTGTGGAATCAAGAAAACCCGGGTTTGAGTCCTGTCTCTGATATGCAAAAGTTATGTGATTGTTGGCAAGATAGTCAATTTCTCAGGGCTCCCAGTCAGCACTCACAAATTGTAAGATATCATAGGAGAGTTGTTGACATGTATCAGGGATGGAGTTTTCCACATGGGAAGTTCCCTACACCCTTGAAATCAGAAATTTGGACCCTCTCTACTCTACCTTCCCCATCCCCCACAAAATGAAAACTCAGAAAAACAACTCAATACATTCCTCCCAAAATAAAACAACTCAAGAAGACATTCAAAATAAAATTACACAAGAGCACAGTTCCATAGACAATGTCTTTTAACATATTGTCTTTTACCTATCGCTGTAGTCCCACAATGCATGGACATAGTAGGTGCTTAACACATTTTTATTGACAGACTAACAACTTGTTGGTTGTCCCCTCTGTGTCCTATTTTAAATTCTGTTTAACCACTCATCTCTGTATTGAGATTGATACAGTGCCTGCAATAAATACTTAATGAATGATAATGTCAGCTAGCATTCATATAGCACCTTAAAGTTTGCAAAGTTATGCATGTTATCTCATTTCATCCTCTCAAACAATCCTGGGAGGTAGATGCTGTTATTATCCCTATTTTACAGATGAAGAAACTGAGGCAAGCAGAAGTTAAGTGACATACTCAGAGTAACATAGCTAGTAAGTGATGTCAGATATGAACTCAAGTCTTCTTGACTTTATGCCTAATGCTCTATCCGCTGCCCCACCTAGCTGCCCTCTAATGAATAGTTGCTGACAGAATGACAGATAGTGCAGGTCAATGTACACATTTTGTGTATATAATTATCTCTTCACATACACTTAAGCATCTACTCTGTGTACAACACTGGGTTCAGTCAAGGAGACCACTGCCTAGTAAAGGGATCACAAAATCGTGGATTTAGGGCACCTTGGAGGTCATTGAGTCCAACCCCCTGCTTTTACAAATGAAAGAACAAAGGCTAGGGAAGTCCAGGGTCAAATAAGTAGTAAGTGGCAGGATTCATACTTAGGTTTTCCTATTGCAAATCCACCTGTCTTCCTACTACGTTATTCTTCCTTTCCAAGATACCATCCCAGGCAAATATTATACATCACATTGCATGTGAGGGCTTTAGAGACATGCACACCAAGTTCTCTAGGATGTCTGATCTGAGGAGCAGAGAAGGCTCTCTGGAGGAGCTGGCATTTGAGTGGGGCTTTAAGAGACGGGCAAGAATTCAACCAATGAAGAGAAAGAAGATATTTAAGGCATAGGGAATGGCGAGTCCAAGAGGCCACCCACTTTGGGTAGGCTCAAACCCAGCAGTGCCCTGCACCTGGAAATAGCTTCATCCTCTGACCACATAGCTCTTTATGCATTGTCTTCCCCCCACTACATTATAAGCTCCTTGAACACAGGAGGGATATTCTCCAATGTTATCACCGTCCCCCTCCATAAATTTGTATCGATTTTTTGCTTTACTTCCTTGGAGGTTTTGTTTCTTCCCTAAACAGTGGTGGTCCAGCCTTTCCTTGAAGACCTTCAATGACTTAAAAGAACTCTAATTCACCCACCCCATCTCCAGGCAGGCCATCCCATTTCTGGAGAGCTCCACTCCTTAGGAAGGCTTTCCTTACATCTCCAGCTGAAATCTGCCCCACCCCACCCCCCATTGTTCCTGACTGCCCTGTGGGGCCAAGCAGAGCGAGGCTAACCCCACAGTCCCATGACCCTGCTTCAGGTATCTGGAGAAAGCTATCACATATCCCCTATGTCTTGGTTTCTCCAGGTTAATCATCTTCAAATCCCTTGAACCTTTCTTTTTATGACATGATTTCTAGTCCCCTCAATATCCTGGCCCCCCTCTCTTGGTTTAACTCCAGGCTAATCCTTGTTGCCAAACCTGGGTGCTTTTGTATAGACCTAGAGAATCACCTTTCTGACTTGGGGGCTTTGTGAGATCTCTCCTGATCCAGCTATTTGGTCAATTGTATTCTCTATCCTCAGGATGCAACGTAGAAAATGCTTCCTACCCAGTAGGCACCTGTGCAGAACGCACTGCCATTCACAAGGCCATCTCAGAAGGATACAAAGAGTTCCGGGCCATTGCTGTTACCACGTGAGTGTCCAAGACTAATTCATGAAATGATAGGTAGGCAGCTAAAACTGGAAAGGACCTTGGAACGTAGAATGCCAGTGCTAGGAAGGGGCCTTACGATGCAGGCTGTTAAAACAGAATGATATATAGCTGGGAAAGGGCCTTAGAACACAGAATGTCATATACAATAAATTATTCTTATTTCTTCATTAGAGGAGACCTGACAAGACCCCAGTGATAATCTAAGCCACCATTACTAACAAGGACAAAGCGTAGACCGGTAGAAGTGAGAGGCCATATGGCATAGTAAGGAAACAAAGGAATGGATGCAGAGTCAGAAGACCTTGGTTTGAATCCCCACTCTGCTACTCGTTTAATTTTGGGCAGATCACTCAGGCTCCTTGGCTTCAGTTTCCCCATCTGTAAAAATAACAACAAACAATACAAGGAAAGGATTTAATTAAGTGAGGATTCAATGAGGATGGGGTCAGTATAATCAGGAAATGACTTTGATGTTTAAAAATACAAAAGGCACCAATTTTTTTTTTAATAAGGGAGAGGGAGAGGGAGCAAGTAAGGAAGGGAGGGAGGGAGGAGGGTAAAAGAAAGAGGAAGAGAAGGAAGGAAGGGAAAGAGGAAGAGGGAGAAAAGGAGAGAAGGAAGGGAGCAGAAGGAAAGGAGGGGAAAAGAAAGGAAGGGAGAAAGGAAAAGAAGGAAGGAGGAAGGCAGGGAGGGAAGAGTCATTCACTGGGAGTGAGGAGATGGGTTCTTGTCCTTGCTCTGCTACCAAGTAGCTATGTGACCTTAAACACGTCACTTCTCTGATCCTCGTTTTCCGTATCTGCAAAATAGAGATGGACAGGATGGTCTTTGAAGCCCCTTCCAAGCTTCCAAAAGACCAGGAATCTACATGTTTTTAAAGGAAAAAAATTTTCTTTCTTGAAAAGATTCCATAAGCCATGCTGGCCTTCTTCCACCCCCCATCATCGGCCCCCAACACCAGCAAATCCAGATCCAGGGAATCTTTTCCAGCAGATCCTGACCATCCGCAGCTACTTGAGAGAGTGGCTGGTGGGCATCTGGGTGTCCTGCTTCCCTCTCTGCTCTGGACACTTTTCCTAGGCCATACTGCTGTTTGTCTGCAGGTCCAGTGTAATTCAGGCCAGAGCAAATAATGACTTGCCAGGGACATTTTGTCCCAGCAAGCTGGAATCAGGATGCAAATTACATTTTGCAGAAGGTAGGAGAGTAGAGTAAAAAAAAATTTACAATTTCAGAACCAAATCCAAGAAATTAATCATATTTGGGAAAGTAAGTCCAGAGCCATGGAAAGAATAATGGTGTGACAGACTGAGTTGTTTACATCTCCCCCTCCCCTCCACCCACCCCTCCCCTCCCCATGGATGTTTGCTCCAGGTTATTATTGACATTCAAGAATGAGGTCCTAGCAATGATTAGCAAATCTGCCTTATTGAAACAAAGCCCACACACATCTCCAGGATCCAGCCATGCTGCTTATTATGTGCATTCAGGTGGCCCCTGCTTTCTAGAGCCAGAATTCAGCTCGATTGCTCTAATCATTTATTCCATTTTGACTTGCACATACAGCTAAGGGAATACACAATGCCCTCCTCCTTATTAGCATGCGCCTCTTTGGAATTTTGTGGAGCAGGGCACTGAAAGAAGTCTTGGCTTCAGAGTTGGAAAGCCTGCGTTCAAGATCTAGCGCTGCCACTTATTAGCAAGATGACTTTGCATTTTCCCCTGTATAAAGGGCTTCCAGTGAGGAAAGTCCCTCTACCAATGCAGATCACCACTTGCCCTGTATTGATAATTCAACCCAGTTGCCTGGGTTGCGGAGAGGAGTCTTGAGAGGTTAAGCAATAAGATTATAAATTTAGAGATTATAAAATCTAGCCCACTCATTTTACAGATAAGGAAACTGAGGCTGAAAGTGGTTAAGTGATTTGGTGAGGATCACAGAGCAGCCAAGTATCTGAGGTAGGATTTGAACTCAAGTCTTCCTGACTCCAAGCTCAGCATTCTTCATCTACCTTGCCATTTAGTAACCTACCCAGGGTCACACAGCCAGTTTTTGTCAGAGACAGGTCTTAAACTCAGGTCATCCTGACCCTGAAATCTCTATCCCCTCTGCCTTGATGCCTCTAATGCTACTGTCGTTCAGTCATTTCGGTCACGTCTCACTCTCTATGACCCCGTTTGGGGTTTTCTTGTCAAGGATACTGGAGCGGTTTGCCATTTCCTTCTCCAGCTCTTTTTACAGATGAGGAAGCTGAGACAAACAGGGTGAAGTGACTTGCCCAGGGTCACACAGCCAGTGTCAGAAGCCAGATTTGAACTCAGGAAGATGAGGCTCCCTGACTTCAGGCCCAGCGCTCTTACTCATTGTGCCACATAGCTATCCCAATGCCTCTCAAGACCTAGCAACATAAGCTGTCAAACAATATGCATTTATTAAGTGCCTACTATGTGGCAAGCACTTAAAATTAAAGAGTTCCTGCCCTTAAGGAGCTTAGATTCTGTGAGGGGAGACAGCAAGCACATACATCAGTATATGCAAGGTAATTGCAAGGGAAATTTTGGAGGAGCCTAAAGCAAGTCACTTCCTCTCTTTGACCCTCAGTTTTCCAGAAACACCATCCTATGCACAGACAGATAAATCAGTTTAACAATTCCGTGCACAGGCACCCCTAGTCTTTGAATTTTGCATACATACATGCATGCATATATGTATGTATCCATGCATGCATGTATGTGTATATATATATATATATATATATATATATATATATATATATGTACACACACACACACACACACAATGGCCTTTGGTTTCCCATGCCAAGAAATTTGTAGGTGTATATGCTCTTAAAATTTTATAAATGTGAGCGGTCTCAATAAGCTAATTCATTAAGAATATTCCTGTGCTAGTCAATCATCATTTTGTAGGAAATCACTAATAATAATAACGATGATAGTTTTACATTTACATAGCACCTTACTATGTGCCAGTCACTATGATAAGCACTTTACAATTATTATTTCATTTGAACTTCACAACAACCCTGGGAGGTAGTTGCTATTATTATCCCTATTTTATACATGAAGAGACAGTTTAAGTCGCTTGCCCGGGGGTCACACACCTAATAAGTATCTGTGGCTGGATTTGAACTCAGGTCTTCCTGACCCAAGGCCCAGTGTTCTATCCGTCATGTCTCCTCGCTTCTGTGCTAGGGTAAAAAGACAGTGAGACAGTCCTTGTCCTCAGGAAGCTTACATTCTATCGAGAGAAGCATGTATACAAAATAAATATGATGTAATTTTGGGAGAAAGGGCACTGAGAAGTTGTGGGGAGGGGATTAGGAAAGATTTCATGTGGAAACTAGCTTGAGTTATCTTGAAGGAAACTAGGGATTCCAAGAGGCAGAAATAATAAGAAAGGAGTTTATTCCAGGTGTGGTGGATAGCCAGTGCAAAGTCATGGAGATGGAAGATGGAATGTATGAGGAAGACAATAAAGTTTATTTGGCTGCATCATAAAGATCAGGAAGAGAAGTAATGTATGAAAAGCCTGGGAAGCGGGAAAGGGCTGGGTTATAAAAGGCTTTACAAGACAGAAGTTTATATTTGATCCTGGAGGTGACAGGGAGCTACTGGATTTTATTGAGTAGAGGAGAGGGATAGGCAGATATGTACTTAAGAAAAAAATCACTTAACATCTGTGTGGGGGATGGAGTGGAGAGGAGAGAGACTTGAGGCAGGGAGGCCAATTAGGAGGTTATTCTAATAGTTCAGACAAAACAAAAGGTGATGAAGTTATGAACTAGGGTGGTTGCCACATGAGTAGAGACCTTGCCTCTCTGGTTCATTCATATCATTATTAGAAAGTAGATCTGCAAGTTCATAGAATGTGAAAGGACGTTAGAAGAGCCCAAGACACCACTTATTCTAATCTGCAACTCCAGAATTGCCCCTACATCACTATAACAGCCCTTTGACATTTTCAGAATGCCTTATCCTCACTGGAAGAATACATTAATGCTGTGAGATGAATATTATACTTATCATTGTTCCCCTTTTATAGATGAGAAAACTGGAGCTCAGAGAGGTGAAGTGACTGGCCCAAGGCCACACAGATAGTAAATGTAGAATGTGGGATTAGAACTCAGATTGATGGGCCCAGATTTCTCATTGATATGCCATATCACTTTCAAAAGATACCTGACAAGTGGGCATCCAGACTTTGCTTGCTGACTTCCAGAAAGGGACAACTCACCACCTCCCAAGCATCCTATTGCACTTTGGACAGTTCTGATTGTTAGCAAGTTTTTCCTGACATCAAGCCTAGGTTTGCCTCTTTATTGGTTTGCCCACCATCTTCATCACTTGCTTGTGATTCATGAATTATCTAGCAGAGTGACTCACTTCCTTCTAAAAGAGTTTGGAAGTTATGACAAACTGGGTTATGTCCCATAATCTCATCCTTTAGAGACCTCAATTCCATCTCTTGACATCTTTCCTCTTCTTCAAAGTCCATCTCCCCTTGAAGTCACTCTCCCCTCCACCCCAAGAAGCCTTCCCTCTCAGCCTCAACTGGATTTAATCTCTCCTTAGGAGTAGTGGTTAGAAATTGCAAAGAGACATGTTTAAGTTTGACATCAAGATGCACTTGCTGACAATCAGAGATGATCCAAAGTAGCCAGGGAGGTCATCCTAACCAGGGCCTTCAAGCAGTGGCTTTTCTGACCACTTGTCAAGGAAGCTATAGAGAGTTTCTGCTCAGGTAGAGTCTGGCCTCAATGCCTTCTGAGGCCCCTTCTAGCCCTGAGATGCTGCAATTCTGCCTTCACAGCATTCTGTACTCTGCTTACATATGTATCACCATCCATTTTGTATTATTAGTTATTTGTGCCCGTATCTAATCTCCCGGGTGAGAGGCAGGCAGCTTATTAGAGTGGAAATCATACTGGTTTTGGAGTTAAAGGGCCTGGGTTCAAAGCCTGGCCTTGCCACTTCCTCCCTTTGTGACTTGGAACAAGTTATTTAACCTCTCTAAGCCCCAGATTCCTCATCTGTAAAGAGGGGGTTGGATTAAATGACTTCTGATCTCCCTTCCAGCTCTATACCTAGAATCCTATGGTTCAATTATACACTCTGCGAAGGCAAGGATGTCTTGCTTAATTTTTGTAACTCCTGGGCTGATCATAGAATAGAGGTTTAATTAACATTTGTTTATTTGATTCAACTAAATTCAGCAAGCAAGTCTCTTACCAGTGGTCCCTGGCTACTATGTTCCATGTGTGTTTTCCTTTTTCCATTGGTAGTGTGGGAATCTGAAGAGGATATATTCGTACATGCGTTTGGGAAGATTTCCCTTTGTTTATCTTGAGGTGCTATTTAATTGAATGGCTTTTGTCTGATCATTTAAAAAGCAAACATTTTATTAAGCACCTACTACGTACAAGACACTATGCTTGATGCTAGGAATACCACCCTCACCCCCTCAAAAAAGGAAATCATCTCTGCTGTTGCTTATACTCTAATGGGAGAGAGGGAGATACATGCCCATAAGTAGATCCAAAGTATATAATAGCTAACATTTATATAACGCTTATAATGTACCAGATACCGTGCTAACTGCTTTACAAATATTGTCTCATTTGACCTTCACAACAACCCTGAGAGGTAGGGGCTATTATTATCCCCATTTTACAGATGAGGAAACAGGTTAAGTGACTTGACCAGGGTCACACAGCTAGTAAGTGTCTGATCCTAATTTGAACTCAGATCTTCCTGACTACAGACCTGGTGTGCTATCCTCTGTGCCACCCAGCTGTCTCATGTACAAAAGTACTAATTACTGGCACTAAGGCCTTGTGGAGAAGGTGGTACATGAATTGTCCTTTAATTTTAGCTCAGGTCTCTGGTGGAAAGGGGAGAATGTCAAAGAAAGAACATTCTAAGCATTGAGGACCCCTTGTACAAAGGCATGAAGTTAAAAGATAGAATGACACGTGGGTAGCAGCACCTAGGCCAGTTTGTCTGGTTCAATGAACCATTAGTGAGTTGTGTCAATTAATTAATTAATTAGGTGATGGATTCTGTGCTTTGCTTTCCCAGTAATGTGAAAGATGACTTTGTCGCACCATGTGGAGCCTGTAGACAAGTGATGAGAGAGGTGAGTTTCACCTGTTCTTGAATCTTCCAGACTCTATGAACAGTAGCTCCTCTGCCTTCCAATTTGACAAGTTCAGTTCAATTCAGCAAACATTTATTGAGGATACACTATGGGCCAGGTGCTATTGCTAAACACTGGGGAGAGAAACACAAAGTACAACAGTCCTTGCCCTCAAGGAGCTTAGATTCCTGAAGCTTCTATTCTCCCCCATGGAGTCATGGCAGCTCAGAGTCACTAGCTATATAACATACCTGCTGTCTTTTTTTTTTAAATTTCATTTATTTATTTATTTTGGCTAGGCAATGGGGTCAAGTGACTTGCCCAGGGTCACACAGCTAGTAAGTGTTATGTGTCTGAGGCCGGATTTGAACTCAGGTCCTCCTGAATCCAGGGCCGGTGCTCTATCCACTGCGCCACCTAGCTGCCCCCCGACTCTCTTACTTAGGTAGCAGCAGCCTAGAAAGCCAGAGCTGAGAGCAAGGCATGAGGAAAAGTAATTATAATAACAGCAGCTGCTACTTTTATTAAAGCCTGGCACCATCTGGCACCATCCAACCTTCCCAGGTGTTCCCCATGCACCCTACATATGCTGTTCCCCAATGTGGCATTCTGTCTACTACCTTCATCTCTTCCATTGCACAGCCTGCCCCTATGCTTGGCAAGCACTCCCTCCTTACTTCCACTTTTTAGAAGCCTTGGGTTCATTCAAGGTTCAGCTCAGGTGCCTTCTCCTACAAGGAGCCCTTCCTGATCTTCCTCATTGTTACTGCCCCCCCCTTGAAATTATCTGGTATTTATCTAATTCACCTAATAATTAGCTTATCTGAGGCTCCAATAACCCTGTAATGTAGATACTATGTGTATTATTATCTTCATTTTGTAGACAAGAAAACTAAGGCTCAGAAAGTTTATGTTCCAGTCACACAATTATTGAATGTCAGAAGCAGGATTTGAGTTCATACCTCTCTTCAAGTCTAAATGAGGCAAGAAAGAAATACAATTAATGAGAAGTCCTCTCAGCTATGGGCAGGAGGAGAAAGGGAAATGGGGAAATAATGTTGAGTTGCCATGCAGTGGCTTCTGGAGAATAGCATGGTACTGTAGAAAAAGTCATGCAGTAATGGAGTCAGAGGACCTGAGTCCAATACTTTTGACCTGTGTGACCTTGGACAGGTCACTTAAACAACCATGGCCTCAGCTTTATCATCTGAATAGAGCACCCCCATCTGAGGCTTACTTCCCCAACTCACATTTATGGTTTGGGGCTCTGAGAGGGTTAGTTGATTCAGAATCTTAGGGCTGGTAGGATAACCATGACAGATTAGGTTTCTAGCCCTCTAACTCATGACTCCCTGCTGGTTTCCTTCCAATTGACATCAATCAGCTAAACTGTAATGAACTTTTAGAAAAGAGTATTTACCATGATAATACAGTAAGAACAGTTTGCCTAAAACATTTCCCCCCAAAGTCTGTTACTCATCCACAAATACCCACAGAACCCAGGGGAAAAGTAGGTTTAAACTCAAGGCGTGATACTATTAAGGCATACATCTTCCCTACACACACAGCAAGGTGGAAAACTCACAACTGCTGGTTATTGGAAGTTCTTTCATGAGTTTGTATCTAGTATTCTGTGGGTCAAGGGGTAATGCTTGAAACTACATCTTCCCTTGGATGGCTGCCTTTCTGCATCTATCTGTGTCCGTGTTTGTCCATACTTGTCCTGGGTGCGTGCCTCTCTGCTCCCAGAGGGATGCATCGTCAGAGGCAGCCATGTGTTCATGGCTGATGTGACCATGTGGGAGACTAGACAGCTTAGCTTCCCCTTTGACTCCTTCAGGACATCAGTCGTATGGATTGTCACCTCCAAGAGAGGAGGTGCAAGAACAAAGGTGCAGACTGGCCTCTCCTTTCTCGGGTGCCCATCTGTATGCCTTTGAGATGTCTCTCAGTTGGCAGCTATATGCCTGACCGCCGATTGGTCTCTTCTCTCCAGTGACATGGTAAAAGGAGAAGGGCATGGAAGAGAAACAGACAGAGAAAGAAACCTGTATCAAGAGTGATTCTCTCTTAGGGGCCTGAACCTGGAGTCCTTCACTGCTGGTCCACTGCTTGACCAGCCTATTTTTACACAAAGAAGCATGACGTGGTCTTCTCAACCAATCACAAGATGTTTCCTGTGTGGTGTTATCTGCCTTTCACGCAATGATCAAAAATCCCATGAAACTTTCAAACGACTTAAGGATTTGTCCACACGTTGTGATGAGGTTGTAGAGAAATTCTTCAATACCTAGCTTATTCTGTTGATTAGTTGATTCAATTAAGGTGTCTGTAACTTCAATAACTGAATTAATTGAGATGGAAGTAGAATCTCCATCTACACATGTAAATGATCTCTAAGGTCGCTTCCAGCTCTAAATGTATAGTCCTGTCACCTTTGTCCCTTAGGGTTTGGAAGCTAATTTTTAAAAAATTAGCCGTGGCAATCAAAATGCTTAATAGCATCTTAGTCAGTGTCCATGGAAGTCTACTGTCCAGAAGAAGGGAGGTGACAGTTCTACTGTCCACTACCCTGGCCAGACCCTATCTCGAGCACTGTGTTCAGGTCTGAGCACTACATTTTAGAAAGGGCACAGATAAACTGGATCAAATCCAGGGAAGGACAACCAGAATGGGGAAAGGACTCAACCATGTCCTGTGAGGATTGTTTGAAAGGTAGCTTGAAAAAGAGAAGAAGGTTTTGGGGCACGCAATCCCTATTTTCAAACTTGTGACATATAGTCAAGAAGAAGAGGAGTTCTGCTTTCCACAGATGATAGGACAGGAAGCAGTAAGTAGAGGTTGTCAGAGATGGATTTAGGGAGAAAATTCCTCATATTCAGAGCTGTGCAGAAATGGAATGACCTGGGTATGACCTGAAAGATTGCAGGTTACCCATCCCTAGAGATCTTCTAGGGGCAGCTAGGTGGCAATGGATAGAGTACCAGCCCTGGAGTCAAGAGGACCTGAGTTCAAATGTGGCCTCACACACTAGCTGTGTGACTCTGGGCAAATCACTTAACCCCAACTGCCTCCAAAAAAGAAAAGAAAGAGGGAAAAAGAGATCTTCAGACAGAGACAAGATGCTCACTTATCAGGAATGTTGTCTCAAGCTGAGGAACTCTTTTACCTTGGACAGAAAGAATTGGAGGTAGAGGAGGAGATGGCGTCAGCACAGGCTCAGAGGACAAATCTATCAAAGGAGCAGTCACATCCAGAAAGGAGTGGCCCTCACATATTCTCCCCTCCTCCCCACCCCCACTGGGAGTTGAAGGGTCCCAGGGAAGGGACACTATGGTGAGGGGATCCTGGAATGGGGTCAAGCAAGGGGCAAGGCTGGCAGTAGACAGAGAGGCATGAGGACAGTGGTCTTTCATACCTGGAAGGCATGGACCCCAAAACTAATCCCTCCAATGCTAACACCCTGGAGCAAAACCCTGCTCATGATCCCTCCCCATTTTCAGCTCTGTGTTCAGGTCAGGGTTGTTCTCAATGCCTTCTGAGGTTTCTTCTAGCACTTAGATTCTGTGATTCAAAAACCTTCAACACATGCAAACAAGATAAAGTGAACAGAATCCACCTGCTAGTTCTGTGAAGCAAAACCTTGGCATTTACTATGTCTTTGCAATTGAAAATAAACAATTTACACCTTGATGCCATTACCCCTTTTATTTTATTTTTTTTTCTGTCCAGTGTCTATTTTACCTGTATTAATGTAAATAGACTACAAAAGCCAAAATGGCCATAGTATTAATATTCTAAATAGTTTCATGGGTTTCAGTTTAACAGTGCTTTTAAATTTAAAGGAACTCTCTGATTATCTTTAACTTGTAGCATCAAACAAAACTGAAGAATTAAAGAAAAGGCATCGTTACTACGTGGTTTTGCTTTCAGGAGTACCCAAGAGAAAGAAAACATCTAAACATCTTACAAAAAGTTTATTTTCAAAAAGTTAAACAAAAAATATACAATGACTAATTTTATGTATCAAAAGAAAAAAAAAGAGGCTCTTGGAAATGAAAAGGATAAGTAGAGACCCAGGGCATCATCCATGCTTCATTCCTTATACTCGTTACAAGGCTTCTAACATAATGATACTGTTTCCTCAGATTACCACCATTCCAATATTGTTCTGTTGCCCACCTGGTGCCATCTCTACCCATTCATCAATCACAAGATTCATAAATGGATCAAACCCCCACAATATTCCTTGGACGTGCCTCCCACCATTTAATTTCAATGATAGCTTCTTGTCCATAAATTTTTTTAGCTCGGGCAGGTGCACTTTGCTCATTTTGTTTCAGTTGTGGCCTTTCACCTCCTCCCTGTGCAATCCTCGCGTTACCCCTTTTAAAGAGGAAGAAACTGAGACATAACAATGTCATGAGCTTGAGGTCATCATAGAAGCAGGTGCTATGAGCACTCCGAGTCCCCAGTGCTATTTATTCCAATTACTCTCTGTGTCCTCCAAACCCATTAGTTGCTGGCATAGGAGAAAGGTTCAGATGAATAAGCTTCAGGGAAAAAATACCACATTGGGAAAAAAAATAATTCAGATGTAAAACAAAGCCAGGGACTTGACATCTAAATCTTGGCTCTGGCTGGGTTTGGGCTTGGCCCTGGCTCTGGCTAGGCTTGGGTTTGGCCTTGGCTCTGGCCCTAGGGCACACAGCCTGCAAAGTGGAAAAATTCCCTTCCTGAAAGCAATTCATAAAAGCCCAGATGAGACATTTGGTCTGACAAGAATTCCATGATTTGGAGAGCAGCGTGTATGAAATGCTTACTGCAGATTGGAAATATATGTGCCCCTCTGTTGGTCCACAGGAGAGATGTGAACACTTGCCCTGAGATGCTACCAGGCAATTTAGGAGAAGAGAAATCTAGCATGAGAGAAAGCCCTCATTCTTTTTTAATGCCATGAGCTTAAGGTCACTTCCAGCTCTGACGTTCTGTGTCCTAAGGTCCCTTTTGGCCTTAATGTTCTGTGTTCCGAAGCCCCTTTCAGCTCAAATATCCTATGTTTTCATTCTAGCATCTAATGAGTATGATGGCTCCTCTTTGCCCCTGAAATTTTGTTCTCTGATTTGAATGAATCTGAGCGCTGAGATCAGAACAGCTGACATCTGTACATCAGTTCAGCTGACACTGAGATCAGGTCAGCCGAAACAAAGGAAAATCAGCATTTCCAGGAGGGGGTGGGGCTTACCGGGGTCCAAAAGCACAGTGGCTTCCTAAAGAAGATGTCCACATGGATGACTTCAGCTTTCTTATGGCTTCCTCACTTGCTGGGCCTGTAAGTGGGGAGGGCCACGTAGAGCTTGGGGGCAAAAAGAAATGTGCATACAGTATTAGTAATACTAATCATAGTGGTCATTTATCTAGCACACTAAGGTTTGCAAAGCACTTTGCATTTTTTTTTAAATTGAATTTGACACAAATTAAATCCTGAGATACAGTTTCTGGGTAATTAATAATCGATTTATTAATTAGGCTAGCCAGCAAGCAAGAAACTGATGGTCAGTGGTTTCTCTCTGTAACCAAAGACCTCAAGGGAGACCTTAAAATGCCTTAAATACCTTCTGAAAGGGGATTCTCCTGACAAGTGAAAAATCAACTTTGATTGGTGGACATTTAGAGGATGTGGATGAGGATCTCCGGCTCCCTCTGCTGAGAACGTGACTTGATCCTGAGCCTCGGCCAGCCGCAGCAGTCTGGGCTGGGGAATCCGTCTTCATCCAGGCCTCTCTGGCTGCCTTTCTCCTTCCTCAGCTGGTTCACTCTAATCTCTAATGGAGGGGACCAAGAACAGAGGTTCCTTCCCTCAGGGTAAGAGCTCTCCCAGAATGGATTTTATTTATAGACAGAAATTAGGTCTCCTAATTGGGTGGGGTCCCACCCCAAATTGACAGGCGTGTTCTTTGAGAGCCACACCCTGCAGAGACTGACTGACCTTCACAGGAGTTGGACCTTTATATTACAAAAAATAGAAGGGAAAAAAGGTGGATCACAATAATTAGTTATTAATGCAACAGTATAATATTAATTCTCAAATTTCATCTTATTAGAACCAGCCTAGTCTGTTAAGAGGGGCAGCTAGGTGGCGCCATAGTGGATAGGATGCCAGGTATGGAGTCAGGAAGGCTCATATTCCCGAGTTCAAATCTGGCCTCAGACACTTAATAGCTGTAGGACTCTGGCCAAGTCACTTCATCCTGTTTACCTCAGTTCTTCATCTGTAAAATGAGCTGGAGAAGGAAATAGCAAACTCCAATATCTTTGCCAAGAAAATCTTATCCGAGTCATGATAAGATTGTGAGACAGCACAGGGCCAATTAGAGAGGTTTAATGACCACTTGATGGGTATGCAGTGAAAGGGAGTCTTGTTCAGTCATGGATCATCTGTAAAATGGGTTGGACTAGATGACCTTGGAAGCCCCTTCCAACTCCAAGATTGTGACCACAGCTGTGACTGCTATGAGATATTGGAGGGCATTGTTCTGGGGTCACCCAGATGCATGTTGGAAGTCCATTACATTTTTAATGTTCTCACTAACTGCTTCTGGGACTACATTAGTATAAACTTCCCACATACAGCCCCATTCCTCTGGAAGAGGTGAATCCTATAACCTGCTATGGTAACCTGGAGAGCTTAGCAGAGCCACCAAAGTGAGGGAAGATAGTCATAGGATCATAGATTCAGAGCTAGAAGGGACCGTAAGACCATCTAGTCCAGGCCCTTCATTTTACAGCTAAGGAAACTGAGACCCAAAAAGCTGACATCAAAGATCACATAGCTAGTAAGTAGCAGAACCAGGATTTAACTTTAAATCCCAGGCTCTTTCCCCTATACCACTCGAGGGAAATGCTCCCTGAGTAATTGTGCCACCCCCCCATTCCTCCAATCAGAATCAGCATTTAGCTAGCTTATTTAAGGATGATGGAGGGTGGTTACTTCTGCCTGTTCTGTAGAGAAGAAAGGAACTCACCTACATCAGTCTTTGTCAGAACAGCTGTGCAGAGAGCCTAGAGTTTTCCCTTTCATAGGTATTCTGTGCATCTGTTCACTCTGTCAGTGTGCTGACCTGTTTGGAAGGGAATAGGAGGTGATGGAGGGCATAAGGGTGGAATTGTAGGGTATCTGTGTCTGCTGACCCCCAGGTCATACAATTATAGAGGCCATTGAGTCTAAACAGTTCACTTTATAGATGAAGCAACTGAGACATATGGGGCAGCTAGGTGGCACAGTCGATAGAGCACCGGCCCTGGATTCAGGAGGACCTGAGTTCAAATACGGCCTCAGACACATAACACTTACTAGCTGTGTGACCCTGGACAAGTTACTTAACCCTGATTGCCTCATCAAAAAAAAAAAAAACAAGAAAAGAAACTGAGACATAGTCAAGGATCACACAGCTAATGTCAGAGGTGGGGTACGTACTATGGCTCTGCATGGAACCCACTACCAATGTCGACTAAGTGAGAGGTTGAGTATGTGTGTGATCAGACACTCTATCCTATTACTCTAGGATCAGGTAAGCCCTTAATATTCCCCACCCTTTGGGTGAGGAGTAATCCCAAGGGATCAGATGTCATTTGTCTAAAACCTGTAGCAAGTGTTCATTTTCATTCTTCTGAATCTTTTTTAGTTTGGAAAACATTGGTATGTCTACTTAACAAAAGCAGATGGTACGTATCAAGTCAAGATGGTCCATGAACTACTGCCTGGATCGTTTGGACCGGAGGACCTGCAAAAGAACTAGTGAACCATGATGATGGAACTGTCCAACTGAGAGCCTTTTCAACCACCTGGGAGAAGATTCACTCTCAGTACTGTACAGTAGGATCATCCCCAGAGCATTCTTGATAGGAATCAACCCCAGTGCTTACAGGGTCCTAAGCATTGGCTGCTTCCGCATTTCCTGTTCAGTCTAGGGACCTCTTTGCCATTTATATTTGAAGTGCCTTGAACGTGCTATATAGTGATAATGGAAAGAACACCAGCCTGGGAGTCAAGAGACCTGTGTTGTATTCCCAGCTCTGCCTCTAACTTCTTGTGTGACTTTACAGTAGTCATTCGGCCTCTCTAGGCCTTTTTCCTTTTCTGTCAAATCAGAATGTTGGCCTAAATCAGGGGGTTTTAAACTTGTATATGTCCTGGACCCCTTGTATGTGTTAAGGTCCATCCTTTGTGTTACGGCTCAGCTCTAACATTCTATGTTCTCCAGTTTCTACTGTTCTCGGACCCTCCCTAGAAACTGTAGCCTTCATTGAAACCAGGTGCCAATCAGAAATCCAAGATCTTTCTCCCTGTCTCCACCTTCCATTGTGGATGGGGTTATGAAGTAATACAAAAGAATTATCCAGTTACTATATTAATTCTGCTTAGCTGGAACCAAAATAATCGCCCTTTGGTGGCCAACCTTCTGATGACTTTAGTTGGAACTATGGGGGCCAAAGTCACTGTGTATTCATGGCTTGAGTCCAGCTTCCTCTCTGGATGCTGTACCTCATATTCAATGAGGACCATCCCACTCACACCAAAGCCAAAACTAGAAGAAGGTGTGGCTCCTCCCCAATTGTCACTCAAACAACCCAAGATGTCACACAACAACATACAGCTCTGACACTTAGGTGACAAATGTCAGAGCTGTATGTCCTTTTTGGGTTGGGGTGTGTGTGTGTTATAATTTGCATTGTCTTACACTGGTCCCATCCAAGGCCAAGCTTGAGAGGAAGATGGTCCTCCATGGTCCTAGTAACAGTGCTACTGTGCTGACCTATCACTGCCTCAGTTTATCCTCTGGTTATCTTGACCTATCCTCTGCTGATTCTGCATTGTAGGGGGTTTTTTATGTCCATCTTCTTCCTGTAGCATCTGGCTAATTTCATGTACCAGCCCCAAGGACCAAGGACTACCTAACTTTTTCATCTGTCATTTCTTTTCCTGAATCCTTGGTATAATATACTTAGAGTGTTACATTCATAAAGTTAATGAATTACTGTAAATATCAGAGCGGCCTCCACCAGCCTCTGCTCATAACAGCCCATACCCAGTTTAACCACTTGGTCACCATAATACTCCCCCTCTCTTAACAAATCCAACAGAATAGAGATAATCAACAAGTAAGACAAGCCAGCAAGCCTTTATTAAGTGCCTACTATGTGCCAGGCACTGTGCTAAGGGCTGAGGATATAAAGAAAGACAAAAAACAATCCCTGCCTTCAAGGAGCTTCCAGTCTAAGGAAGGGGAGACAACATAGAATTATATACAATCAAGATAAGATGGGATAAATAGCTGGTAGTCTCAGTCTCATGGAGGACTAGGGTAGGGACCTGTGATTTCATTGCTATAGTGAACATTCAGATAAGGAAATTCCTTCTACCAAGGTAGGTCAGCCCTTTCTCTGCAACTTTATAGTGTCAGAGAGTAGTTGGGGCATTGAGGGGTTAAGGGATTTGCTCAGGCTTCCACCACCAGTATGTGTCAGAGACAAGCCTTAAATTCAGATCATCCTGGCTTCAAGGCTAGATCCCTATCAACTACACAGCTACATAGACTGTACACAAGAAACATAGTACATGGTCTTGAGTCCCGAACTGGTCATCAATTATTGGCCTGCATCACCTCCCAATGTAATATTTCACCTGTTTTTGAGAAGCAGTCAGAGTTAAGTGACTCATAGGGTCACACAGTTAAGTGCCTGAGGCTGGATTTGAACTCAAGGCCTCCTGACTCCAGTGCTGGTACTCTATTCACTGCTTCTTCTAGCTGCCCTCCTGCCAACTTCATATACTTTAGAGGAAGGGATGGGAGAGAGGGAGAAAAATTTGGAGCTCAGTATTTTGTAAAAATGAGTGTTAAAAATTTTCTTTACCTATAACTGGAAAAATAAAATACTATTTTAAAACAAAAAGTGTTGTTGGGTCCCTACTATTAGGTAAGTATATGTATGTTCTGGCCCCATGAACATGAGGGTATCACTGGCATTTCAGAGAGTACCTTGGCTGTTGGCTGTAGGACAATGATCTACAGAGTGCCCACCCAGGCCTTCCTCCCCTTCTGATAGTAGGTGTTTTGCATTTGTCTTGGTCAATAATACTGACCAAGTGTAAGCCCAACCCCTTCTGGACATTCTCCAGGAACTATTTGCACCAAAGGGGAATCCATCACTCACTTATCAGGGGATCCTAGAGTGAACTAGCAGGGGCTGCTCTGGGTAGAGCCTTTGAAACCATTCCACCACCAATCAGCCAGGCTACAGGTACTTTATAAACTCCAATAAGGCCTCTGATCCCTCACTCCATTTTGCAGTCCATTAACCTGGGGTCTGAGCTTTCACATGGACACAATGGAGCCCTGAACATGGGACTGGGGAAAACGGATCTACTCAGGTCTTAACCATAACAGCAGAGACTGCTCTCTAAGAGGCAGGTTTTCCTTTGGGGTCTCAGACATCAACCAAGTGCTACACCTCGGCCCAAAGCCATCTGGAAGCTTCAGGTATTCTACATTCCTGCCAAAATGCTACATGCTGATCTCCAAACTTAGCCTTTTATTATCCACCTCCAGCTCCTCTCTCCCTCTCTCTCTCTCTCTCTCTCTCTCTCTCTCTCTCTCTCTCTCTCTCTCTCTCTCTCTCTCTCTTTCTCTCTCTGTCTCTCTCCCCTCTCTCTGCCCCCCCCCGGTTATCATGCATGCTACGATCTGTTTACATATTGCCTGTCCCTGATCCTGGGGTTTTCAATGTCCTAGTCCCCTATGCCAGTCTGGTGAAACCTGTGGACCTATTCTCAGAAGAATGTCTTTAAATACGTGAAACAAAATACAAAGGCTCACAAAGGAAACAAATCATATTGAAATGCAATTATCAAAATATTGTTTTAAACACAAACATACCAATTCCAATCTAAGAACTCCTTCAGGCATAGTGGAACGTGAGCTCCCAGGACAGAGACTGGTTTGTGGTTATATCCCTAGCACTTAGCATGGGGCCTTGCACACTATGTGCATTTAATAAATGTGTGTTGGCCTGGATTGAGGCACAACATGCCCCAGGCAAACACAGGTGATGAAAGAGCCAAAAGTATCATTCCATACCTTTAGTGTTAAAGAGGATTTAATACAAAAGAATCATCTAAGAAGCTTTCTACTCATGTTCTCCCCCAAGAGGGCAACAACCTGGCTGTGGACCCCACACCCAGTTAACATAATAAACTGTTGGCAACCATGGACAATGCTGAGCTAAAGCATTAGGCTGCTCAAGTGGCATTTTAACGGGGGCCTTCTGGAGACACAATGCTTCAACCCAATGAAACAACTCTCGGTGAAGATATTCTTTTAACTTTGGCCTGTTGATGAGGGCGACATATTTGAGGGTAAGGAAGGGATGGTGAGGAAAAGGACCAACCATTCCCTTTCAATCATGCTTACTCTAGCTCATGTGTTCCCTCCTACAGGAAGCCTTACCTGATCTCCCTAGTTGTGTTTTCTTATCTGTATCCTCATGTGCTCTCCTGCTTATATCATGACTCCCAGTAGAATATAAGATCCTTGAGGGTAGGGCCTGATTTTTGTTCTGTTTTTGTTTTCACTATACCTTGCATAGATCAGGGCTTAATGAATGCTTATTGAATCTGATTAATGCAACCATGATTCCAGAAGAGTAATGATGAAAAAATGCTCCCTACCACCTACTAGAGAGGTGATGGACACAAGATGCAGGATGAGACATACATTTTTGGACCTGGACAATAGGAGAATGTGTTTTGTTTGACTATACTTATTTGTTCAAGGTGTTTTGTTTTTCTTTCTTTCCAAGGAAGGGAGAATAAATGCTTAATAATTGAAGAAAATTAATTTAAAAAATCAATCCTTATTGAATGAGTTTAATTTAATCCACCTCAATTCAGTTCAATTGAAACTGAGCAAGGCTGGGTTCCGACACTCAAGAGGGAACATACAAACTGACTAGCAATCTCCTTGTCCCATTTCTATAGCTGGGAACCCATAGAAGGAGCTTATTGGGGGACAGTCTCCCAGTTGGATGTATGGTTGTTGTTGTTGTTGTTATTCAATCATTTCAGTCATGTCCAACTCTTCATGGGAAATGAGATAGAGAAGGAAATGGCAAACCACTCCAATATTTTTACCAAGAAAACTTCAAATAGATCTATAGTGTCCACACCTGATTTCATTGAGCGAAGAGCTGGTGGGCGGAGAGCAGGTACTATGAGGGCCAGCCAAAGGTCATCTAAAGGATTCATTTCCACCCCATTGCACTTGATGGGCTATTAGGCTTCAGGAAGTTCATTTGAACTTCAGCATTTGGGTGAGTTTTCTGGCCGTAGTAGGATGGAAAGAAGGCTTCCAACCTGACTCTACCACCCGCAGAATTCTAAGCAACAAAACCATTTAGTGAGAACTCAGCAAAGAGTCTCTACATCTCCACTGGCTATCAAGATTGATTACCAGCTACAAGAGTCCACTATTATCCGCTATTTCCATTTTGAAGGAGGGCACCATTCAATCTGTATCCTTTCCCAAGGGTTCGATTACTCGCCCCCAATCCCAACTCCAGCTCCATGGACCACTCAACCATCCAGGGGCAACCGGCCAACTATGTTCTTTAGCAAGAAGTGACAGCATATGTCTTTCCCTACAAAGCCAAAGAACATATGCCCATCTCTAGGCAGGGGAGGTGCTCCAGTCCAGTAGATCAATGGGTTCCCCAATCCCCTGGTAGAATAAAAACCTCAAACAGTCCAGGTTCAAGTGAAAGCTAAGTGGACATGTGTTGAGTATGTTGTAAAGAGAAGATATTGGTAAGACTATATAAGTTCTGGTGTTCCTTTCATCAATGAGATATTGTCTCCGTGACCTATGACAACACTGGGATATTTCAGATCATTGCTATATTTGGAGACGCTCAGGCCCAAGCTGGAAATTCCTTACATCTTTAATGTTTTCCATAACTATTTTAGGGTTCTATTAGTACAGAATTCCCCATGGGGAATACTAATACACAATGGGGTAGTGAACCGGTCCCACCATTCTGGAAAGTAATTTGGAATTTGTTTGTTGTTGTTCAGTTGCTTTGGTCATATCTGACTTTCCATGACCCCATTTGGGGTTTTCTTGGCAAAGATACTGGTGTGGTTCACCATTGTCTTTTCCAGCTCAATTTACAGAGGAGAAAACTGAGGTAAATAGGGTTAAGTGAGTTGCCCACAATCACACAGCTATTAAATGTCTAAAGCCTAATTTGAACTCAGGTTTTCCCGACTCCAGGACCAGAACTCTATTCCCTGGACCACCTGGTTTCCCAACTTGGAAGCAATTTAGAATCGTGCCCTCGAAGTTACTAAACTGTGTATATGCTTTGAGCCAGAGATGGCACAATAGGTTTATACCCCAAGGAGATCAAAGAAAGAGGAAAGGGACCTATATGTACAAAAATATTTGTAACAGCTCTTTTTCTGGTGGCAAAGGCTTAGAAGCTGAAAGGGTATCCATCAATTGGAGAATGGATGAACTAATTATTGCATATGAATGTGATTTCATACTATTATGTTATAAGAAATGATAAAGGGGATGGTTTCAGAAAAACCTGGGAAGACTTGTATGAACTGACGTAGAATAAAGTGAGGAGAACCAGAATAACAATTTATCCTATAACAACTATCTTGTAAAGACAAGCTACTTTGCAAGACTTAAGAGCTCTGATCAACACAATGACCACCCATGTCTCCAGGGGAATGATGATGAAGCCTGCTACCCACTCTGTAACAGAGAGGTGATGGACTTGGACTCCAGACTGAGATAAATTTTTTTGTTTTGTTTTGTTTCTTTGTTTGTTTGTTTTCTTAAATAAGACCAATTCAGGACTTTGTTTTGCTTAACCATGCATATTTTTTTTCCTTAATAGCATTTTATTTTTTTCCAATTACATGAAAAGATAGTTTTCAACATTTATTTTTGTAAAATTTTAGGTTCCAAATTTTTCTCCCTCATTCCCTTTCCTCCCTTCTCCCCAGGACAGCAAGCAATCTGATATAGGTTATACATGTACAAACATGTTAAGCATATCCTCCCTTCTCCCCAGGACAGCAAGCAATCTGATATAGGTTATACATGTACAAACATGTTAAGCATATCCTCCCTTCTCCCCAGGACAGCAAGCAATCTGATATAAGTTATACATGTACAAACATGTTAAGCATATTTCCACATTAGTCATGTTGTGAAAGAATAATCAGAACAAAAAGGAAAAACCATGAGAAAGAAAAAAACAAAAAACAAAAAAAGGGACAAGAATATGCTTCGATCTGATGCATATTTATTATAAGGGTACTGTATTTTTTTTTCCAGTGGGAGGAAGAGATGGGTGGGAGAGAGGAAGATTTTCATTAATTGAAGAAAATGAAATTTAAAAAGAAATTAGATTAATAGTAATAGCTAAAATATCAAATCAGCCCTAGCACTACCCTTTTTAAGATATACAGTATCAGGCTCTAAATGTGTAATGTTCTAGTGCCTCAGATTCTTCACCTATGAAATGTGGATAATTATAGCCATCTCCTTTATTGGAAT